ATGCAAATAAACACATGGGCTAATTGAAGCCTATATTATACTCAGTTCTCGCGTGAGACTTAAACAGATATTGTCTATATGTCTCAACATTTGGTGAAAATGCACCGAAAAATTGAATTAGTTAACGTTCACTATCGAAAGAAGGTTGGCAGACAATATTGATGCTTCAGCTTGTCTTTTGAAAAAAAGTCACCTGAAATATTCATGCGTTTAACAACTGTTCTATTCAATAGATGTTCAAAATAAGGTCGATTTTTTTCTGCTAGAACAGATGCCAAATTCCCTAACCGACTGAGACCCATATCATTACTCGTCAATATTGAGTAAATCCTTGAATAGCTTGTTCATAATCGTGCTCTGTTATGATGTAAGAATAACAATATATTTATTGACAATCTATCTCGTGTTTTCCTAGTAGAAGATTGCCAACTAGAATTACTTTATTCATTGAAGAATAAATAGATAACGTGTCGAGTTGTCAAATCGCTTTTCACTAGAAGTTATCACCATTCGATCGCGGTGTGGACTTGGATATGAGAAAATATGATATTATGTCTATGAAGTGAATACAATATCTGTACACCTGACCCTATAATCTCAACATATCTTGTCTCTCACGCTCTCACTCACACCTATCCTGGCAGCAGTAACCATCATGAAACAAAATGAAAGTTCAACAAAACTAGATAGAGTCAATAGTGATTCTAAGTCTACTATTAAAACTGATGAACATCGTACTTTTACTATGACAATACAGTTTTATGAGTGTAAATTAATAAATCAACGTGAACACATTCATTTGAATGTTGAAGCCTGGCATTATAATATTTTGCAATGTAAAGCATTTTTTTCTAAATTCATTTCAGTTTTTTCATCAATAGCTCGAGCTTTTGTTAACTATTATCAAACACGTTACGATTCCAAAAAAGAAATTTTTTTAAATTAAACAATTTCAAATTAATGGTACTTCTATTTGCTTAAGCCGACGAAGTCTGAAAGACGGAAGTCCCGCTGATTCAGAAGGGTATGGGTGTGGATGAGAGTCTGGGTGCCAATTGAAATAGGATACAGTCACACCGAACCCACATCCTATTTGATCGATCAAATATCGTGTTGCTTGTTTTGATTTTCTGAAGAAATAAGAGATACTTATTTTCGATACACTATTCTGTAGTTTCGAGCACTTAGAATAGAATTATTTTCAAGCAGTATGTTCGAAGTAGATCAATATATAAGAATCAGTTGTTTTTTGAGGATCCTTGTTTGTTACAGGCACTTGATTTATTCACTTTAATTAACGGAAACTGTTCTCGCCACATATATCTGCGCACTTTTCTTCAAAATACTTCTCACTTTCACTGATATACATGGATGTGGGTCGATCGATATGTATAATAGACTTGCTCAGGTGTCATTCTTTTTTATTGATTTTTTGATACAAATAAGTTCTCTTGCGTTCTTTAAGGTTGAAAAAATGGTCGAAGAAGTTTGAATGATGCACGACGTCGAGAAAAATAAAATATTATCATCTAATGTTCTTTTCATGATATTATACTTATTGCTGGCAATCTGTTCTCCGTTATAATCGACAAGTATACGAATAAATTCCTATGAGACTGAGAAAATTTGTGTCCAATGAGCTGAACAAATATTTTATAGAATTTTTCACCAAAATGAGAGGTACATTCAAACAAATCACAATAATGAATGTTGATCTGAGATTTCTTTTACTGCTCAATAAATTGACTTGAAAGCTTCAACAGAAATAAATATTTCTCCCTTGAAATGTTGATTTTCCAACAACAGTCATTTATCATGGGAACAAAACGACCATCAAGATCTCAAAAAGAAAATAAATCAATTATTTTCTCCAAAAATTTTCAGTTCATTCTAATGAGGAATACATTTACAGATGGATTTTGTATTTGAAATAAGTTATTGCCATAGTAAGAGATAATATCAGGCATATTGCTAATTAACATATGACCTGCACTAGCAATGAAAGATGAAATTAGACTTAGAACTCAAATAAATCTAAAGTTAAATTTTTTTCTTTTTAGTCAAAACTTGCTAAGATAAACTACTAGATCTCAATTAACGTTAAACATAACTTAATAAAAATGTATAAAATCAGATGTTTCTTCTCATCTTTTTCGATCTTTTAAAAATTCTATTTATATTGTCTTTGATTCCTCGATGGAATATGTCTACATTTATTCGCCTACTATTGTCATTTATGCTTATCGGTTTTTTTTCTTTTCTCTCATATGTTCATTTCTATCGTTTCCTTCATTACAGATGCCAAATTCGATCGATAAAACTACCAAACGTAATCATATTCCACCGATTAAAAATAATTTACCGGAACAAATAAAAATTTTTCCAGATTCTATAAAAAAAAGATCAAACAAAAATAAATAAACCGAATACATTTTCAACGTAAAAGACAAATTCATTTACTTGTTAATTTTTAAATTGTTGTGTTTAGATCCGAAGATCATAAACCTTTTCCTCAAAAAATGTCAGCAACAACTAATGATACATCTCATTCAATACTTACAATAACTACAACTACAACAAAAGCCATTAATTCGATTAATAGTCATAGTTTAGGTAGATAGTTTGCTTTTTCTTTAAATAAAAATAATGTTTAGATCTTAATTAACTTTTGTTTTAGCTGAATGCATATGTTCACTTCGTAATGAAATCTATCAAATGACTTGTCATCAACCAATTAGTGAAATATCATGTGGTCATATTATATGTTATTAATGTTTTGTTCTTAATACAAATCAATTCGACTGTATACAATGTAAAAAAATTTCAGAAGTAATTTGACACAAAACAACTACACATTTTATTCTTTTCATGAAAATTCTATTTAGAAAAATAATGATAATATTAAGTTATCATCCATTACAAATGTACCATCGGATAATAAGAATACGATTGAACAAGTAGTTAATGAAAAATTTGAAAATCATTCATCGAATTCTCAATTTTTTTCCACATGTTTTTGGACTTTTTTAAAGTTTTGTTTCACTTGCTTCGTGGTGATACCTCGCATCTGAGATGGGACTCCAGTCATTAAGTATGGCCGGTTGAAACTAGAAGAAGTCCAGGATGATTTTAGTCCATACACTGCTCTATTACAGTTATGTCTACTACAAGGAGTTTCTTTTAACCTTGGCATATTATTTATAAAAAAAGAACGGAAGAAATGAATTTCAGCCTAAAACTTTGTCTATAGAAAGTTGTTGAAGTTGTTGGAACCTCTATCCAGTCATTGAAGTGTCATCTCAAACGTGAGGTTTCATAAATGTGTTACTATATCAAGAATTCGAGAGATATTAAACCCAATGAGCGTAAAGCTTATAGAAAAGAATGATTTCTTTGAATTTGCATCTTAAAGAAAATATTATCTATAAACTGATGCACTTCATGATCGAAATGCAAAGACATCGTTTTTTATTGAACCACTTACTGAGTTCTGTCATAATTCTACATACTATTGAATAATATTCCAAACAACGATGAATTTTGACTAGTAACATAAACTACATCGTTTTTTTCTTCTGTCATTGGCACAGAATGTACAGTGTGTGATTTGTCTGTACTAGTATCAGTTTCATCAAATTTTCTAATTCATACAAATTGTTCGAACTGTTCAAGAACTATTCATGTTTTGTTTTTATGCCGAAGAACTTGTGAAACACTCTGTATTTTGGAAAATTATTCAAATTTTAGTTTCGACATAATCAATGGGAAGCCATTAATGCGGCTCTTCAACATCATAATTGTTTTATACTTATGCTAACAGGTAAGAATGATTTTACTTTGATATAACAAAAAATAAAGAATGTTTTTTGTTCCAAGGTGGTGGTAAATCTTTATGTTATCAGCTACCAGCTGTTCTTGATACTAGTGTTACATTGGTTTTTGCATCTTTACGTTCACTTATATTTGATCAAAAACAACGATTAAAATTATTAAATATTTCATGTACAGCTTTAACATGAAATATTTCACAAGAAGAAACTGATGGAATCTATCGTGAATCATAGAAAGATTTACCTGCATATAAAATTGTTTTTATCACACCGAAAAAAATTTCTATGAGTGTAAAATCATTTTCTATGCAGATAAAAGTAATTAATTTGTTTTTTTGCTATTCATGGAGTCAATTGAATAATGTTCTTCGAGATTTATGTAATCGTCAACTTTGAGCACTATTCGTTATTGATTAATGTCATTGTGTTTCGGAATGGGGTATGTTATCAGGATATTGATATATAAAAACAATTCATATACAAAACTATATATATATATCTATGAATAATCGATTTTGTGAAAGATGATCTAAAATGAGTGTTGAAGCGCCATAGAAGTAAAAATTTGAACTTCTTTGTAA